TTTTCACGCACCTGGATTTCTGATACAGTGCCAGGGAAGCTTGGCGGTGCGCCCGCTGGGGATACCAGATTTTGTTCAGAGTTACACCGCGCCGGTTGATCCAACGGAATTCGGTTCAAAGGTGTTCGCACCTTATCATGCTACAGAAGTAGATCTTGCACCATGCGTCAAACCACTGCACAGATTCACTCTTCAGAACCAGATTTGATACCAGATCTTCGAAGCCAGATTTTTCCATCAGATTCCTCCTCAGAGTTTTCATTTCAGAATTCCTCGTGTCATTCCCCCTAACAAGCTTCAACCACAGTATTGTTTCATTTGATTCCGCAGTTGAGTTTCACCAGTGGGCAAGTAGCCGCGTTTGCGCTTACCTCATGGAGCATATGCCGTCGTCAGCAGACTGGATGTATCGACACATGTTTGGGACACCACCGTGGACACCAAGCACACAGACACCACCAACAAATTCATACCCAACTCCTCAGCAAGCATTATCAACAACATCTCAGCTGACCATGCCAACAACATCCACAGCAGCGCCATTTGCCATAAACTCAACATTTCCAGTTTCAGTTCCAGCAGCACAGCAGCAGCTCTATACACCAACACCTACTAGCCCGGCACATATGCACATGATTCCAGCCACAGCATCCCCAGCACCTTTTCCAGCTTACCAACCACCATTGCCAGCAGCAGCTCCTGCTACATTGTTTGGAACAACAAGCCAAAACTATCCAGACTTCCTGACTGGCTCCCTTTTTGACTATGGACAGCACACATCGCCAGCACATCAACACACAGCAAAACCCAGCCACACAGACAATATCTTACCATCACTAGCCACACAGCCACCTGTTCATTCTACATGCGCTCAACCTCAACGAGTGGAACAACATTCACCACATCACGCCAGCCGGCGACGCAAGCGCTCAAATACTCCACGATCTAGGCGTGGGAGCCGAAGAAGAAGTCGAAGCACACGGCGTCAACATCGCCGACAATATCACCGCAAGTCACGCAGCAGAGCAAGGGCAAAACGGTCAGAACGAAATCCCAGCACATCGTCCAGACCCAGATCCAGACACGCTAAGCATCACCATCATCAGCGTTCATCCACTCGACGACAGCAACACCAAGCACCCACGCAGTCTGGGAACATAGCAAGCCCAACACCGCAGACACCAGCACACACAATAATGCCACCACCACTGCTACTGCCACCACCACTACCACCACCACTACTACCGCCACCACCACTACCACCACCACTATTACCACCACCACTATCACCTCCGCCACCGCCACCAGCGCCACAACCGACAACGGTGCCACCACAGACATTATCAGCCCAAGTCCTACGAGTGGCAACACGAACAGCCACTTCCAACGCCATACCGGCCAGTACGGCGCCACAACCCAGGCACGGATCCACTACTACAGCAACGGCAACATCATCTAACTTAGCAATGACACCAACAACAACACAAGACCACTCCGACGACCCACTTGAAGCAGCTGTTCAACGCAATATCGACAGCAACACATCCGTACTTACACCATGGCAGCCGCCAATCAGAAACCATTACCACCCGTTCAATTACAAAGCACTTCAGCAGCGCTTGCACTCAGCAGCAGCACGTGCTCAGGAACTCACCCCCCCATCAGTGTACTTTCGTTTTTTGCAAGACAGAGATAGCAGTGTTCGTGAAATTGCTACCTTGCTTGAAACATCTTTCCCACCAGGGATTGACCTACCACAAGAACACATCATTCATACACTGTCAAAATATATTGTTACAACTGGGATGCCTATCCAAACTACGCTTGCCCGCATCACGTTCCACCAGCATGACAAATACCGAGTGTGGCAATTACACCTACGCAACATGCCACGCAGCACCTCTACAGCAATGTCGCAAGCAAGCAACTGCCAATACCATTGGGCGCACGCCACCAGTGAAACAGGCTTCTTAGGAACTTTACTGTACGGGATGGTACTACCAACATGTTCTGAAACAATGTCAGGCAGGCAATCTCAAGGCTTCTTCTGTGCAGCAACAATGGATGAGAGCACCATCGTTCAAAAAGTAGTAGACCGCTATCTCAGCGGAAAGGCACATGTTCCTTTTGTACTTGGCGGTACCTTGTGGGCAACACACAAAGCCGTCCCAAGCGGGGGCACATACACAGAGCAGGAAGAGGTCGAGACGCATGGCATCGTACATCGGGCAAGGGACAAAAGGTGGTGTATCCACGCTACGATAGCATCCATTCAGTCCATTTGGATTCTTGAACAACAAGCACACACAACAGAGCCACCGCAAAGTGATCTGATGCGTGAAGATGCTCCGCGGCTGACTTTACAAACCGATGTGGAAATGAGAGGTTATTAAACCTCAGCTCTTGCCCCGTAGTTTCACCAAGTGAACAAGCGACAATATGTTCGTTTTTAAACGGCAAACCAGGTTTGCAAATTCTTGTCACAACACATTTTCACCAGCTTGTTCAATACAGAGTCCATACCACACGTGAGGTGAAAAAAGGTGAAATTCGCACCATTTACGACAATAGGTTGACCTGGCTTTTGTTGTGGATTTTATGCGCGTGGTTGGGTCCTTCAACAAACATCATGTAGGATTGACACCATACTACCATCAAAGGTTTCATGATTAGTTCAGCATAGACAGAACCTATTGCTTTCATTAGTTGGTTTCAGCAGAAGTTTATAGCAGCTTGATAACGTGCAAGTGTGAGCAGAGCAACTTTGCTCACACACACCGAGCGAGTCGTCCGTGCGTTGTACAGATTATGATGTCCTTTAACCTTCAAGCAGCAGTTGCTATTGGAATGTCTTGAAAATTGAACTGTTTCTTCAGACTGAGCTAATTCGTGCTCAAGTACCGCTCCGATCGTTCTTTCATTGTACAGTCATGTCGTGGCGAAGCACCAGCAGACCGTGGAACTGGCACCAGCACCAGCATTCAGCACCGCACACACCACCACGAGCAACATACCAGCATCCTGACTCACAGTACCGACATGAACCACCAAGCCCACAAGGAACCAAACAGTTCAACCGAGACATACCAGCCAATTTCCAACCTGATGCCAACCACTTTGACACCAAGCAACAGTATGGCCTTTCCTTTCCTCGCCAAGTCACCTCAACAGCCTGGAGTCAGAAGTATCATCTAGCAGGAAGACCCATTGACTCCGTACGACTGTATGAATTGGCTTACCTTGGTTGGTCCAACTGGAGCCTTCGAGCCTTAGCCAATGGCAAATTCACATCACTTGTGTTTGCCCGCAGCATCAAAGAGTCCATTTTCTTCCACCATTTGTCCATGAAACTTCGAGATGAGCATATGGATTTAGATGACATTGCAGCAGCATATTGCCAGCAGCAAGGTATTGCGATCACCGATCCAGATCCCAATCAACTCAAAAAAGCCAAAATTCACCACCTTGTGAATTCCACAGTGGATCATTTCCGGCAATTCTCCAATACAAGCTTACAAGAAGCCCAAGACAAAATTCGACAGCTGGAAGCACAGCTAGCAGCAACCCAGACCATTTCCCAGGTACCCACTGACGAAGAGCAAGCCGCATCCCCACAACCTCACCCGCCAACCACACCTGATGAAGCACCACCGTCACCAACACCCGCACGCAAACGAAAGCCCGACACATCCAACACACAAACGGCCAAAAGATCGCGCACTTTGACGGACATGGGGATCACCAAACGGCCGGGCAACCATGACACCAAAGACACACAAAGAACACGCAAACACACAACCTCACCCACTGCCGTACCGGCAGCGGGCGCACATGATGTACCAACCAGCACTACTATTGGAGACCTTCAAGCCAAAATCACGCAACTCCCTGGTACCAATACTGTCAGGCCATTTGCCTCAGCATCGCCCAACAACAGCACGGCCAAAACCGTTGATGCCTGGATCAAAAAGCAGAGCATTCCCAAACAACACCAAGCAGCATTGCAAGAAGCTCTTGCAACACTCACCGGACTTCTCAAGAAGATCCCAAAGCCCGAGCAAAGCACCTTTGCAGACAAGGCCGCCTCACTCGGCCTGCCAGTATCAGTGGCATCGAAAGCCCGCGCGGATGAGCTCTACAAGTTGCTGCTTTTTGGGGTGACACAGCTTGAGTGACTAGATCGAGATGACCCGAAACATGTACAGTTTGCTGCCGCATGTATCGTCTTCTTCGGTTGTCTCGAACATTTTCCGCTTGATCAAAACTGTTGTTCTGTATCTGTTCGGTTGGTTCTCCGTGTTGCTGTTTCTTTCTGTGTTTTGTATTGGATTACAAATCATCCTAATCAAAATTCGTGTCGAAAATGGAACCGAAGATTCAGTCGGACACATTTGAAAGATGTCCGCACTTTTGAGGATATGCGCCAGTTGTTTCACCAATCCAATGTTGTATATATTTTGCTGCATGTTTACGGCACAGCAAAACTCAACATACACTTGTCGTCTACAGAACATTACATCGGCAGCACCATACACACATTACATGATCGACAGAACACCCGACACCGCAAGCTGAAACAATTACAAAACGGTCAACCAGTATCGTGTGAGCTTGCATTGCATTGGTTCTGTAGCCAAGGCAACTACTATCAGTTTGTACCACTCCCGTTATTAACAACCTCGTCACAACTGCAAACACGAACACTGGAAAGTTACATGATCCAGCTTTGGTGCCCACCACTCAACTATCCACTCATAATGCAGCGCAAGGTCACTAAACAACATTCAACACCACACTTGCGACAAGCAATCGCCAACACATTCCTAGGACATGGCCAGCGACTGTATGCGCGACTCCGCCGCCGCATGATGTACAAGCAAGTATTCCACTTTTACAACCACAACCTGTCCAAACACACCACTGCCTGGCTTCAACTACACGTACTCGCGGAACAAAGCCAACGGTCGTTTGACATGCAAAAGTTTATCCGTTCCAACAACACACACTCAGATCACCTATTTGCACTCTACAAACTTTCGAACAACATGGAAGATCCACCAAGAACAAGAGTTCGCAGTTTGATCAAATCAGCTATTCAATTTCGACAACTACCACTACCGCCAAGTCCTAGACCACTGATACTGCCTCTACTGAGCCACAAAACATTCAGTCACCAAACACGCCACTGGCTTCGGCAGATAGCCATTCAACACAAACAATGGCTACCACCTTTTCACATTCCAAAATGCAACATTACGGCAGGAAAGCATACCACCATGCAACAAGCCCTTTTCAGCCACTTTTCCTGGATGAAGAAATTCACCTGGAACGAACCTCCACCATGTTCTTGCCAACAACTTTTTGCAAAACACCCACGGCTTACCAGCACTACAATATGTGATCAACCACATATTGCCAGTCCTGCTGCAAACCTGAATGTCCCAGCACGACTCGCAAATTTCTTAGCCACGCATGCTGGCACACAAGTGTACCCTACAAAACACCACTACTGTCAACAAACTTGGCCCAAACTACAACGCTGGCTGCAACATTACAACATTAACACAATCACGTATGCAGACTGGCAGAGTTACATTGAACAACAGTGGCCACAGCACTTGCAGCAATCCAAACAATGGATTGGGCACAGCGACATTCAATACCTCAGAAAGATTATGCAACAGTTTGTGGTTCACTGTCGCGACCATGCTGCTACAGCCATTTTTGTGTATTGTCCTTTTCTCTACTGGACAGTCCTCAAGAAAACATTTGGAGATTCATCGGTATACACCCACCTCACTTTGACACCACCACAAGCAACACAATACCTACAACAGCTTACACATCAACCCTGGCTTCACAAATACAAATGGGCATACAACACCAACAGCGACTGCCCAACAGCCTACATACTATTGAAGCAGAAAAAACAATTCCTTGCCGCCAGGCCCATCATCAACTATCGTGGTTTTGTTTTTGAGAAGCTTCTCAAAGCCACAGCCATCGTTCTACAGCAGATGCTTCAAGCCTGCATGTCCAAGACGTTTGGACTACAATCACTCCAGCAAATTTTCTATACACTCCACACTTTCTTTCACAATGCACCAGCAGACCTGGACCTTGCCATTTACAACCAAGATTTGGCAGGGTTTTTTACATCCATACCAGCAGACCGCATCCTTCACGCACTTGCCAAGCTGTTGAAGCAATATCAACAACAACACCCACATGTAAATAACGACACTGTTTTCACAGTGGACATGCAACAGCCAGACACCACACTACGACTTTTTCGAGGACGGCCTCGTCGAGCTGCAATGACAAAACGACAGATCAGGTTTGGAGACATTTACAACATATGCAGTTTGTCTCTCCAGGCATCAATTTTTTCACAGCTCCAGCAAACATTTCAGCAAATTCGCGGCAGCGCAATTGGCAACCAAATCAGCCCAGTCCTGGCAAACATCACGGTCAGTCTGACCGAGCAAGATTGGCTAAACCGACCACAGGTACAACAATATCTTCACACACACTCAAACAGAATACTGATCACACGATACGTTGACAACAGGCTTGTACTCATTGACCAATCCCAACAGCACCACGCAATCATCCAACCATTCTTACAAGACACCTTTTACCAAGAACCGGTCATCCTTGAGGATGAACCAGACAATTCCTTTTTGGGCTGCACTATTGACTTACAAAAACATACATTGTCTTACATTCAACCAAACAATGCTTGGCAGTTTCAATCTTTTGGCTCTGCAGCTTCCACACAACACAAGCTCTCTGCCGCATACAGCCGCATCTGCCTAGCAGCAAGACACAGCCACCCATACAAGCAAGCACAGCATGATGTTGAGTTTTTAATTCAATCGTATGTTTCACTTGGTTATCCGTACAAGCCATTACGCGCTATGGCAGCCAGAATGTTGAGCATCCGGCGGTAAGTTTTCCACATGAATATTTCTATGATTGATGGTCTTTAATGCTTCGCTGTTCCAACACAAACAACCTATTGTTTTGTATTACAATTAAGCAAACAAGGTGCTCACCTGAATTGGCATGAGGGGTGACATTTCAATTTACTTAGTCTGAGCAACAGGCGTGCCTAAGAGGGGTGGAAAAGCATGTGCCCATACTGGGCTTGTTGTGTGTGCCGACCCCTGAATCAAAGGGAATGTTATGTTGATTAGTTCAGTTCGGACTACATGTTCTAGATAGCTGGCACGAAGAAACCCACTGCACCGTGAGGCATCTTGCGAAATCGCGGAGAGTGGTTCGACCGTAGATTTACGAACTTGCAAGTGTATCGAAAAACATCATAACAGCTGAGCATGTTCAACCCAGTTCGCAGCAGTCTTTGCATGTATGTTAGTATAAGATCCGAAAGGTCAGTGCCCAGCATTGCCTTGGTGACCTGGTAAGTTTGATGATTGTCCTATCACGCGCCACCAGCATGTTTCTTCCTCAATCCGTGGATTTGCGTGTCTTGTGAGTGAGTGTATGTGCTGAACCCTGAATCAAAGAGAATGTTCTGGTGATTAGTTCGGTTGGGACCACATGTTCAAGGTAACTAGCGCGAAGAAGTCCATGTTGCATATAAGTTCCAATCCGACACATCTGTGCATCTTCAGGCGTGCAGCACATGGGTTTCGATCGTTCGTTTTGAATTAGCATACCAACGAGCAGGGGCATTGGGCACTCCTTGGCAAACCCAATGCAATGAAGCTATGCCTTGGAGTGGGATGCACGGTCTGATCAACCGTGTGTACCTGCAGTAATCTCAGTATGGCAACTGGGCAAAGCCAAAAACCCAGCATGAGGAAACATGAATTTTCATTTCATCTCACTTCATCGTCTCCCTTCGGGGTGTTTCTAAGTGTGTGTGTCAAAGTATTCGGGTAGTGAGATCAAACCTATTTTGTACCCTTTAGCAACAGGTTTTGCTATCATGTTTGATACCCTCATAGTTCAAGGGAACACAAATGGAGGAAAACTGCTGATACAACCAACAAAAAATGGGATTCAACGGTGTAACCATAATGATATTTGCAAGATATCATCGGATATATATATAGACAGACCCAACTACACCAATGGGTTAAAGACCATCGATCGGCGTTGGAGAACATCACCAGCCTCACAGTTGACAAACGTTGACAAAATATCTTTGATGATCAAACATGTTCATTGTATGTTAACATCAACCATTGACTATAGTTGACTAAGTATAGTTGACTATCTTTTCCATAAAAATCCCTTCGTGTTTTCTTGGTTCTTGGTTTACGTTGCTAAAGAACCTCCCATATTTTTTTCCTGATGAAATCCCATCAAAAACCATGGATTGGGGGTATACCGTATACCTACTTCTTGGACATCCGGAGAGACCCGTCTATCCATGAATTATTCAGAACGGTTCATTGCTTAAATATGCAGAAATCCCTAAATATGCTGAAATCCCTAAATATGCTTAAATCATCTGAGATCCCTATTGTGGACAGTTAAATCCTCTTTTTGGATTGTTAATTCCCTGTGTTTGATGGTTCGATCGGGATCGCATGTTGATTGAAACCAGTTCAAGAACAAGTTAGATCCTATTTTTTTCATGGTAGTTACATCAAATGTTGCATGGTTAAAGCATTAAACGGATCAAAAAAAAACATATTTCTTGATGAAATCCCGTTCCCAACCCAAAAGAAGCTGAGTTTCCCCTACCGCCATGCTCTTCTTCGGCTCAGCCGCCGCTGCGGCTGCCGCTGCAGCTGCAGCTTCGGCTACCTGAGTGGGAAATCCATGGGTAAAGCCCCGTCTGAAAATTGGTTTGTCCACCATGTTGGTCATAGCCACCCTGGACGTATCATGAAAAACCATTGCGTTCATGGTTTCCTTGACGATTCTCCATAGCATAAACTCGCAAAGAGAGGAAGATCAAACGTTCAATTCAAACACGCGGGAAATCCCTAAAAATCAAAACACATCAATGACATCAGCCCCAGATTAGTAAACCCTAAAATATTGAAATTCCTATCCCCGCGACTTGGTGCCTCAGCGAAATCATATTTGATCTCCCTGAGTCACCATGCCTCATCACTGCCCACACTGGCCATGGACGCCTGGCTGATTTTCGGACATGTTTCGCGTGAAAATTCCCCGTTTGATGTGTGCTGTATACACAGTTCACTGGGCCCGATATACATGATTCATCTACAACCAGTATCATTTATAATTTGATCACGTTACGAACGCCGATGTGTTACATATTTCTTTAGCATGCATCAGAAAAGATGAGGGGCATCATTGACATAACCGGCCATATCCACATCCATTTTTCTGACAGAACTGTGGCTACTATGGTTCGGATGGCCCAAAATGTGACACCAACGGAACCAAAGAAAGTGGCATGGGTACATATCCTCCGATAATTCAACATAGCTATGGGAAGTCACCATTTCAAATAAGAAAATCATCTGTAAATGGGCCATTCTCCATAGACACCTTAAATTACCAGAGGTTAACTATGTCATACGTAACCATCCAATTTTGAAAACAAATTGAATATGTTCAGCCATATCCCAAACAAATCTTAATCAGATGGAAACCATATCACTATTATTTTTCACATATTTTAGATCTAAAGTAATCCAGTACCCTCTGGTAATTTAACATAGCTATTGAAAATGACCATTTATAGTGGATTTTCCCATTGAAAATGGTGATTTTCCATAGTTATGTTAGTTTACCAGAGGGTAATTAAAAATACCAAACGAAACATCACTGCAAAATCTTGGATCTATTCCTGTGTGATTCCAAGGTGGCGCCCGTGATCTGTCACATTCTGCATGGAAAATCACACCTTTTAGTAAGTAAATGGCTATAAATGGGCAATGTTCCATAGCAAACTGTTAAGAATGTGTAATTACAGATATACAATATATGATATATTACATATTATATATTATATATTACATATGCAATTTTATATATCATATATACT